TATATTTGGGGCTGACCATTTGCAGTCAAATCCCTTGGCCTTGGGTTTGGTGGTTCTCTTCCATAGCAAATACCATTTATTGACTGCCTACTGTACGCCGGGCACTGCAGGGGGTAATTTGTGTGCATCGTATCATCAAACATGTTTGACAACAACCTAGAGCCCATTGGACAACTGAGAAAACTGAAGCTGAGAGAACTAAAATCACAGGCCTCGCGAAGTTCCATGGCAAGGAAATACACGGAGTCACAATACGCGCCCCTATCTGATTCCAAAGCCCTTAAACACTAGTTCCCCGTGATTCAACCCAGTGGCTTGGATCTCTGTTTCCCGGTGAGGAGCCAAACACCGGTGTTTACTTATGTCCAGGTCCCGTGCCGGATGGCGATCGAACATTTAGGGACTGACATCATCGCAGGGATGGAGCGCTGCCGCCAGAAGCCCAGTTCCCATCTAATGGTGTTCGAGGAGAAGGCTGAGGGAGTCCTGGGCACTGACCCAGGGCAGCCTTCGGGGGTTTATTTATATAATGAAGGCTGAGACGCAGAAGCCACTGAGACACCCATGACTTCAGCGCCAGGCGGGCCCTGAGAGGCCGTGTGAGCTGGGCTTTCTCACGTCCGTCTGAACTGGCCCCAGCCGACCCGCACGGACACACTCACGACAACTTGCTGAGCCAGTACTTTACCGCTTTGTAAACATGCGCACACATATGCACGCACGCACGCAAGCACACACACGGATCTGCACGTACCAGATACAACCCTCCTGACTGATCTCGTAATCCATGGATGGACCAGAGATGCAGTTAAAATATTTATTAAACTTGTTCTTGTCAAATGGAAAAACTGAAGTCAGGAAGGGTCAGGCACGTGCCCGAGGTCACTCAGGACATGTGCAAAGTGGGACCAGAGCCTGGTGCCTAGTCCACAGTGCTAGTTACCCATGATTCTGAGTAACAGAACGTGAACCCAGCTGAGTGCCCAGAGGTGTTTGGATGGTTTGGGTGCAAAATGTGTTCAGCTAGTGAGGATTTCGTCTGTGCTTCTCGTGGCTTCAGGGGCACGTAAAATACTGCAGGGCCTCAGGGTCATGACTACGGTCATCCGTTTTTACTGAGCTAGTGGGGTATCGATGGCCAGGCCCCCCTAAAACCATGTTTTCTGTACTGAGTTTCTGATCTTGACTCCTAGCTGTGGCACCCAAGAAGACACAGACATGACCCCTGCTCTCTGGGCATCTGGGATCTACAGCAGCAATGATGGAGGCAAACGAGGCTGCGGCGTGTGGAGCCTGGGGACATCCCCTGAGAGCGCCCTCGGTGCCCGGTGCCCAGACAAGCAAGTAGGGAGTGTTCAGAGCATAGGCCCCGCCCCCGGGAAGCTCAGGCTCTGGATCTGCACCGTCCCAGGTCCAAATCCCCACTCTGCCTATCTTGTGTTGCTTGGCCAGGGCTACATTCCCAGGCTCAATTTACTCACCCATTAAATGGGATCATTGTACCTGTCCGTTGTGTTTTGGGGAAAATGAAATGAGATAACCTGTTTGAACATCTCTGGCACATGAAAGGCAATCAGTAAGTATTAGCTTTTTAAATTATTATTACCATCGTTATTACTGATAGGAAAAAATGCAATTCACAGGTAAAGAGAAGGGGTGAACGTTCCAGAAGGAAGACACCAAGCAAACAGAGGCAGAGCTGAAATCAAAGGGCAAGATTCACAGGGTGGAGGTTTGGGGACATAGAGAATAATTGGGAGATCAAGCTGGAAAGGCAGCACAGCCTCTAGGAGAAGATGCTAGATGTCAGGCTGAAGAACTTGGCAATGGGGAGCCATTGAAGGCTTTAGAGGAAGGGAGGGAAGGCCTTTAGAGGAAGGGAAAGAAAAGATGGGTAGAGAGCTCTTGAGTGATAATAGCAACCCCCTGCCGGAGGTTCACTCACTGCATAGTTGTGGGCTTTCTGAATTCCACAGGAAAATGAATTCTGTCGCCATCCTGGGAGACTCCTAGGAAGTGGCAGGATTTTTTAGGTTGCTGGGTGAGGCTCTTGCTACCTGGGCAGCGTGTGAGTGGGATGGGTTTTTCTGGTAAACCAGAGGTGAGCACTCCAATTTCCTTCCCAGGCTGGTACATGTTCCAGGAACAAGTGCCGGAAACAGGTCTGCAAGTGTGACCAGGTTGTCCTTGTACCTGCAGCATCTGGACACATGCGTCTGGACACGTGCCATGGCTAGGACCTCACTACCAGGAACAGGTCACGCAGGAAGTCCACACCCCTTCAGGACATCTCCGCTGGCCTCCTGAGAACACTGCCTGGCGTGACCATCTAACAGAGCTCCCACCCGTCACCACCATAACTCCAGACCAAGGAGACATGAGCAACTGGGAGGCCAGTGGGTGAGCCCAGCTTGTCCAGACCGCCCCACCAGAGAGGTCAAAACGTCACAACTGCTGTCGTGCCTGCTCAGCTCCTCAGTTCCTATTCCCAGACTTCCCTGTGAGTGAGTTCTTGGAGGGCAGGAACTTAATTTGTTCATTTGATCACTCATTTACTCAACAATCACCTGTTGAGCACCCACTCTGTGGCAAGCATGCTGCTGGGCACCAGGGAGCCTGCTGCATCCGCCAGGGTTTGGTCAGAGCAGCAGAACGACCAGGGCCATCGTTTGCAACCCTTTCATCTCGTGGCACATATAAGTCAATGACTAAAATTCTGCAACACACCCAAAAATCATGTTATAGTTTTAGCCGATCTAACAAATAAGTAGGTATACTTCTGATTCATTCACACAGACAGCTATTGTTGTGTTGGCTGTCGTCATTCTTTACTTTGACAATGTGAGGTCCGTGTCCCTGACCCCTTTTGGTCAGGTGCGGCATGTGTTAACAACCACTGTGCCCACCGGTGCACGGCAGCACACTGGGCTGAAAACCCAACTAGGGGGTGCCTGTGTGCAAAACAAGGGACCTTTTTACAGGGATGTGATGTCTGGGAGTGTGGGGGCCAGTAAAAGCCTGTGTGAGTTTCTTTCTTTCTGTGCTGTTGCTGCTGCCTAGGGTCTTGCAGCCCAAGCGGGAGAGCGAACGGGGCCTGTGCAAGCCCCAAGAACAGCCTGGGACTCCCATCAGCCTCACCGCTGGCAAGTCTCCAGCCAGAGAAGATAAGGAGTCCATTGGGCAGGATGAGATTCAGACGTCAGCGAGGGCTTCCTGTCTGTCGAGTGTCTGTGCGTGTGGGCTGTCTGCCTGCTTTTATATAAAGCTCTACCCAGGGAGGCATTTGCAACCTGGTCTGTATATCTCAGTATCTGCCCTGAAAGGGCGGCCATCGGGCAATTTTGGGAGAGATGAGCCTCCTGGTGGTTCTCTTGCCAGGCATAGTCAAATAAAAGAGTCAAGGAGACCCCTCTTCCCAAGTTGCAGCAATCATGTGACTTCAATCATTTCCTCCAGAGCTGTTCACAGCTGTGAGGGTGGATCCAGGCAGCAGGCATAGATGACCCCAGCGGGGTCCCCTCCACTGAAGATGAAGGTCAGGGCCCCAGCCAGGCTAACCACCCAAGGACAGACTTTGGAATCCCAGGAGACAGTTAGTTCAGAGAAGAAATGGAGCTGGCTCTCAGGTGGAATCCAGGTGATCCTTCTGAGAACCCCCAGTGTGGCTGAGTCCCTGAACCATCCCAGGTTCTATTTTCTCTCCCTGCGGGCTAGAGTTGAAGACAGTGGGAAAGTGGTCGGAGCCCAGGATTCAGAACCAGCCATCTGTTTGTCGGTGTGCTGTGTGGCTTTGCAAATGTCTCCTAACCTCTCTGGGCCTCCATGTCCTGGTAGGTAAATGCAAGTTCTTCCCAGACCCTTCCACATCAAACCCACATCAGCTTGTAGTGTTGCTCTCATAACTTCATAGCACCCCTAGTCCACAAATGCCTGTCAGCACTGGTCTGAATACTGGGTCTCTGAGCTGGGATACCCCGGGGAGAAGGGCCTGTTCCCAGCCCCTTCCTGCAGAATGTACAAGCAAGGCACCGCCTCGCCTGCTGGGTGACCCTGAAGGGAAGGGAGAAGCCTATGCTGGGTCTCTTCTCCATCACCCAGAACACTGCAATCAAAGGGAAATGGCGTTAAGAATGAAGCTCCCCTTTCCTCCACATACCTGGTTAAAAGTGAGCTTGGAAAACGACTCTGCTCAAAAAGATGTTGTGAATAAGTTGGACGCCTGAGCCCTGTTCTGTGTCACATCGTCGAATACAGACACGTGTCCTCATCACACTTTTCTAAAACACCAGTGTGTTTGGGGCATTCAAAAACTCAAACTGCATTTAGAAAATGGTTAACACTGGAGGTTTTAAACATAGACCCCATTTATCATGAGGCTATTTTGGGATTCGTCGGTGGAAGAGAGCCAAAGGTCTCTTCTAGGCTAGGACTCTCCTTTGTTTTAAAATATGCCCTTTCTTCCTGCTGTCTGGGTATTCTTACAAATTACTAGATGAGCTGGGGTTTTTAATGTCCTTACTTGGTAAAAATAAACCTCGTAGCTGAAACCTACTTTAAAAAACGTTCTGTTCTGTGAAACCCCAGGACCTCAGCATCCCTGCGCCAGCATCCAGGTGGCTTCAGGTTTCCCAGTTACGTGGCGTGAAACATGACAGTTTCTCTTTGTAAAAGACAATGTCAGAGAGGTTCAGAAGTGGGCTGGGCTTGCCCAGCTGGAGAAACCAAGCCGGGACTTGAATGTGGCGCTCTCTGTCCTGGAATCCCCTGCTTGTATAATTACAAATTCTCTTCTCCCCACCCCCTCAAGGGAAAATGAGACCCCTTGCTTGGCTCCAGAGGACCCCCAAGATTTAAGGAGGTGAGCCTCAAAGAAGGCCTGACACTCATCTCAGAAAACCTTCTATCTCAGAGGGCTTGGTTAACTTCGGGTTTAGTGGCCCAGAAACAGAGAAAGGTGCAGGAACCCCCCCACAGCAGAGAGGAATGCCTGTGTGGTTTGTATTACTCCTGAGGAGACATTTTAATATCTACATGTCAGATGTATGGAGTCAATTTTGCTTCTTGTTGAGTAACACTCCCTAGAGAGTGGCAGAAACTGAGAAGTACATGGATACCAGGGAAGTCTTCCTCCCGGAGATGGGGCTCTGTCTTCAGAGTCGACAATGATGGGCTTGGAGTTCAGAGGGAGCTCTGAGCTCCAGAAGGACTGATCTCACACGTGGAGAGGCCAGGGACCTTGACTTTGTCGAGTCCTATGATCAGACTCAATCTCTGGGGATTCTGTGGAGAGCGAAAGGTGGCCATGGGGCTCCTCCCAGGCCAGTGGACCATCAAGAAAAAATGAGGGGCAAGACAAGGGAACCTCTCTCAGGAGCCCAGAGTTGGAAAGCTCCATGTTGTAGGAGGAGGGGACAAAAGTCATGATCTGGGAGGAGCTCACTGAGGGTCACTAGATGCAGCAGAGTTTGGAGACATATCTGTAGGCAGGGTTGTAGCTCCTTAGGTTTTTCTTCAGGCATTCGACCAACTTCTGGTCACAGGCACAGAGCTGCACCTGGCATTGGGGTCCGGGCTCTGCAAACAGGATGCCAAATGCAGAATGAGGAACAGAAGGTACGCTCGCTCTACCGACCTTGACTCCCGGGCTTGCTTCAGTCAGGACTTGCTTCTAGGCTGAGCGGATTCTTAGTCTGCTCCCTGCTCTGTGGGAGCACTCAGTCTGGTGAGGGAGCACAGTGTCTACACTGGGGGGGGGGTGGTGCGTAATCTGATGGAAGGGACCAGCTGCTACCCAGGGTGAGGTTGCAGCCCAGGGAGTCACAGTTCCTGCCCTCAGGGAGCTCCCAGTCTGAGGGTGGGGACTGCCCCTGTTCCGAAGGAACCCCAGTTCCCACAAAGACGCCACACTCAGACTTAGCTTTGAACTCAGGTGGACCTGAACTTGAATCCCAACTCTAGCTGTGTGTATTGGCAAGCCTTTGAGTTTCAGTTTCTTCATCTGTAGAATGGGGAAACTAAACCTACTCATGGGGCACTTTCAGGGAGCAAGTAAAAGGAAATATGCAAAGCATTTGGTACTACTAAACACTCACTCTAAGAGGTCAGAGACAGGGGCAATATTTCTGCACACACACACACACCCCCCCCCCCAGCTCTGTCTCCCAAGATGTAGGCTGACTGACATCTAGGGGCAGCTGCATTCAGAGCCAGCAGAGGCCCGGGCTTTTCCAGGGGCCTGAATGGGAAGCCCCAGCCTTACCGCAGGAGACCAGGCCCCGTGAGATTCTGTACTTGTAATACTGTGCCCAGGTGTTGCAGCCTTTCTTCTCCAGCACCTCATAGCAGCGGTCATGCACCTGGCAGCACCTGTCAGTGCGAGACACTTAGATCCTAAGTGGAAGGGGCGTGTCGCTTAGGCAGAGACCACATCAGTAGGTGTAGTCTGGCAGAGAAAGAATCTAGTAATAATATGCCCTTCCTCTCGGACGGCCTACCATTGGTGAGCAGCTCATAATCGTGCTTTGTCTTCCTAAGCTCTCCATGAGACTACATCTCCCAGCCTCCCTTGCAGGTAAATGTGGTCACATGACCAGGTTCCAGTCTGGAGAATGCGGGTAGAAGTGATGCACACCACTTCCGGACCTACCCATAAAAACCTCACACGTTATCCTCCCCTCTCTCTCTTTCTCCATCTCTCAGCTGGATGACGATCCAGCCAAGGACTTGGAAGCTGCAGGGAAGGGCAGAGCCACAAGGTAGAAGGAACCTGGGTCCCAGAATCAACAATGTTTGGTCAAGCTGTTATAAGACCAAAAAATAAACTTCCAGTGTGTTAGGTATAGCAGCTTGCATTAAAAAAAATTTTTTTTGAGATACAGAAAAGTGGAGAACATTGTACAGAATGTTCCCATTACCCCAGATCCAGTTTCCCCTATTATTAACATCTTATACTAATATAATGCATGTGCGACAATTAACAAACCAATATTAACTAAGTAATTTAACCAACTACTAAATAACAATAGACCGTTATTGATTCATTATTGCAAAAAGTTCACAGCTTATTCAGCTCTCCTTGGTTTTCTCCTACTGTCCTCCTTTCTCCTACAGGACCCCGTCATGACATTCGGTCATCAGGGCTCTTTAGGCTCCTGTTGGCTGTGTCCACTCCTCACATGTTTTTAATGCCCTTGACAGTTCTGAGGGAGGCTGGTCATGTGTTTGTAGGATGCCCTGCTGCTGGGATTGCTCGGACGTTTTTCTCATGTGAAGACTGTGGTTATGTGCTTTCATTTTTTGCTCAAATTGTTGCAGCGTTGGCCAGGGGGAGCCCTTTGTGTTGGCGCCTGTGCTCACGGACACATCTCTCAGCCTCCCTTGTTGATGCGGGGTCTGTCTGGGGTGCGTCAGGTTTTCTTCGCACCCATCCTAACTGTCCGCATTGTAAGAAGCTCCTGGCTCATCTTGAGTATTTCCCGCCCTGGTCCTGGCATCGGCCATTTCTCCAAGGAGCCATGGTTCCTTGGAGAATGATATTAGAAACCAGCTCTGGCCACCAGCTGTTGCTTATGGCAATTGAGGGGTTGTTTCTTTTAGGTCCTGTTAGCTGACAGAGTAAAAATATATGTATGTGTCTGTATTATCAATAACCCCGTGTACACATATACGTATACATATGTCCATATGTAACCATTGCATCTATATGAAGTTAGACAAGGTCCACACTGAAGTCTCTACCTCTAGTCCACTGCCATGTAGAGTGTTCCAGCATCCTGTCCCTGTGTGTCTGCGAACTGCCACTCCAGCAGTGAGAAACTTGGCTCCCACCGTCCGCCATCCAACTGCTCAACTGCCCCTTTCCATTGTACATGTCTCGAAGTGTCAAAATTGTTAACCCAGCAGGTTGCATTTTCCAAAGGACAATCACTCTCATCTCCCATGTTCTGGAACATGGATGCTTCCCAATCAAGAACTAGCTAGAACCTCCCTCTTAAAGCCACTGTAACTGCCTTAACCTAGAGTTTACTGGAAGGACTGCCATGACCCTTCTGAGGCCTAATCATAAAAATGCTATACTCTCGTCTTGCAGCCTTGAGATACTCTCTCTTGGAACTCTAGAGTCACTGTGCCTTGAGACAACCCAAACAACCTAGGAGAGGCCCAAGTACCAGGAGCGGAGGCCCCCGGTCCCCAGCCTCCTTTGAGCTCCCAGCCAGCAGACAGCAACAACTTGCCAGCTACCTGGGTGAGCCATCTGGATCACCCAGCCTCAGTCAAGGTGCCCAAGCTGAAGCCACTTGAAGCCATCCCACCCAGCCTTAGCCAAATGGCAGATTCTTAGCAAAATCAGTGGTCATCATCCTTTTAAGCCATTACATGTTAGGATGATTTGTTATGTAGCAATAGCCCATCTGATACTTAGGCCACTGGGATTCAGAGGGTTACTAGATGTATCTTGGGAGAGTTGGTTAACCTCTCCGAGACTCAGTTTTCTTATCTGTGAAATGGTGCTTTAATATTCATGGAGTCAGAGGAGATAATGTGGGTGCAGAGTGGGAGCAGAAGGGCAGTTGTGATACTCAGCTCACCCATCGGTAGCATCCTTGGGGGTCCCCTGACCGCCCAAGCCGCAGTAACAGCCATAAAAGCCATAGTCTATCAGGGGGTCCTTTCCCGTCACGTCCTTGATCATCGAATTCAGTTCCAGGAAGCCTCCCAGCACAGCGGGCGCACCTGAAAGACAGCCCGTCCCCAGATGAAACCCAGGCCTGCCTGCTGCAGGCCCGCTCTCCCAGCATGCCCCTGCCCCTTCCCCCACCCTGGGGCTTGGTGAGGGGGCAAAGGTCTCTTCTTTTATCCTCCCCATTAATGGGGCAGGGACAAGGAAGGCGAGGGCAAGCAACACAGGGAAGCCGTTTCGAGTTTGGACTTGGAGACTGAGTGAGCCGGGGTCCAGACTGCAGCCCTGCCAGTAATTCACAGCATGATGTTGAGTGGGTCACTTACCTCTCAGAGCCTCCGTTTCCTCAGTTTCCTAAAATGTACACCCAGCTCTTAGAGTTGTGATGAGGTTAAAACGAGACAAAGGGTGTGTCGTAAATTTGGAGCCCAGCGGCAGGTGTGTACCAAGTGACCAGAAACAGGAGGTAGAATTGACGTGGTATCTGTGTGAAGCTGGCCACCCAGCTCTCATGCGTGCGTCTCCCCGCCACGTGCCTCTCCCTCTTCCCACTAACAGCACCATTCAGAGCACGAGGCTCCGCCAGCGAGATGGACCCCTGAGAGGTCACTGAAGCCAGCCAGCTCCCTCATCTCCCAGACCGGGAAACTGAGGCCCGGAGGGAAAGGTGGCTCGCTCCGCAGCACACCGTGAGCCAGAGGCTCCAGGCCTCCTGCTCCCCCTGGAGTCCCCACGGGTCTGGAGACCTCCAAGAGCAGGACAGCCTGACGAGGAGTGCAGGGGAGGCCTGAAGGCAGACCCCTGTGCTGTGCCGGCACCACCAGCTGGGAGGCAGCAGCACAGGGGTGAATAGAAACCTGGACAGGCCTGAGCAGAGAATGACCAGAAACCCTGGGGTGGAATATTTCTATAAGGTGATTTCTATCATTTCGTTTTTGTCTGCCTCCTGCTTCAATCTCAATACCACATGTTCTCCATGTAGCACAGCCCTACATGTCGCCTGGGACCACCCTTCCCATCTCACCCCCCCCCGCCCACAGCCCTGCCAGTGGGCTTTCAGCAACATCATGGACCAGAAAACAGGCTGGGAGTGGCCAAGACCCTGCTGATGTCCACACAGTAAGTGCAAGTCCCCGATTCAAACTTAAGTTCTACCGACTCAGACTAGTCTCCTTTCCATTACCCTATTGTTCCTAGAGAATAGAAGGTCACAAGTTCAAAGGCCATGAGGCCATAACTTACTGCAAACCAGGAGCCAAGCCAGCATGAGGAGGCCCTTCATCTCTGAGACTCTGGAAAAAAAAACACACCCCATGACATACTTACCAGGAGATGTCCCCATGGCCCTTTCCAACCCTACCCCTGGCTTCCCACCAAATCCGAACTTCTCGTGTTGGTCAAAAAATAGGCAACTCCAGTGAGAAAAGATGAGGCAAACACCTCAAGGACTTGACCCAATGGGTCTCTGGGGACAGAGGGACATTTGTGAGGTCCCCTATAGAGATGGGAGAGAACCCTCCCATCACAAATGCACCTGACCACAAACACCCCCAACGCAACTGCCCCTTCCACAGAAAGTGGCTAACGGTGACCGAAGGAGTCGGTGGGGTCCTTCAGTGGGCGGGGACTTGACGGCACAAGTGAGGGGCAGGAGTAGACACGGCTGGGCAGGGTGATGGATGAGGGAGGTGGCGGGGAGAAAAGAACACGGGACGAAGGGAGAGACAGGGTCAGGGCTGGGAGGACAGGAGGGAGACCAATGGTGTTAAGTCTCGTCTCCCTTTATCTCACAGTACAGAGGGCCTGGCTGAGACTGTCTTCTCTACTGGGTTGTTTTGGTGTTTTTTTTTAAAGATTTTATTTTTGGAGAGAGGGGAAAGGAGGGAGAGAAGGGGAACAAAACATCAACGTGTGGTTGCCTCTTGAGAGCCCCCTACTGGGGACCTGGTCCTCAACCCAGGCATGTACCCTGACTGGGAATCGAACCAGTGACCCCTTGGTTCGCAGGCTGGCACTCAATCCACTGAGTCACACCAGCCGGGGCTGTGCTGGTCTCCTGAGGGCAGAAGCTGGGAGATTCATCCCTGTCTCCCAGCACTGAGGACGGCACCCAGCCCGAAGCAGGTGCTCAGGGAGGAAGCAAGGGCACACTGCGTGTGACGTGGCTTTCAGGGCCTTGTTAGGGCTTCTGTGGGTCCCAAGCACTTTTGCCTTCATAGTCCTCTTTCTCCACACACACAAAAATCCTTTTTACATTATATTTTACAACTACATTGGTATAAAAACAAATGCAATTCAAGCTGGATTCACTATTGCTACATGCATTTTTTCTTCAATGTTAAAAGAATTTAAAACTGAAACATTTTCATGGGCCCCAATAAGTTGACCCTGGGCACTCGTGAGCTCTCTGAAGGCCAGGTATCATCATTGCCATTTTACTAGTGGAGAAACGCAGGCTCAGAGAGCTCAAGGAACTTGCCAGGAGTCACATAGCTAGTACGAATTGGAGGCAGGGTTCGAACCCAGGCCTCGAGCCCCCATCCCCACAGGGGTGAACTCTCCTTTGAGCCATGGACCTCTGTCCCGTGGACTCACAGGCCCCAGCTGCCTCCCCCGGCAGACACATGAATCACTGGCCTACGGTCCAAAAAAAATCACATCCAGATGCAGAGGAAATTCCATGTGTCTTGGGCCAGTGCCGGATCCTAACTTGGCCTCTCACAGGGTGCTTTGCTAGTGGCTGCCTGCTTCCCTTCCCTCTCTTCATCTCAAAGTCCTCTTTCATCTGCAGCTGCCCAGCCGGCCAATGGTCTGCCACCATTTCCGCTTCGGTGCCCTGCCATCTCTGATCCCTTCAGAGGTCACTTCTGCTTGTGCTGTACCCAGAGCCCCTGGCCCCTCCCAAGGCCTGGCTCCAAACACACAACTTCCAACTCCAGGGCTCCTGGCTACTGGGATGGCCTCTTCATGCAGCTCGTCTGAGTTCCAAGAATATTCCTGAGGGTTCTCTCCACCCATGGCCTCCACCCGGAGGGCTCTAAATATCCAAGCCAATGGCCATAGATCCTATCCTTCCATAGCGATCTTTCTCACAGCAGGAGGAAGATGCCAACTACCGTGTCCTGGGCACCTACAGTGGGCCCGGCACCACCCACTGCCCCTTCGAACCCGCCAATGACCATGGCAGGAGCAAACTGTTAGACCTGCTGGCACAGCACCTGTCCCTTCAGCAGTCGCTGGTTGACTGAGAGAATACCACTGGTCAATTTTACAGACCAGGAAATTGAGGCACAGGAAGGGAAGGTGAGCTGCCTGAGGATTCAGCCCAGGGGCGTGGCTAGACTCCTTTGACCGACCGGACCGCCCTGGAGCAGCCTCTGCGCAGTAGCCACGTTGCCACTTTTCTATATCTTAGGGTGCCTTGTAGGGCTGGGGGCCTTGCTGGGCTGGGAAGAGACAGCCCCTCCCAGGACCAGCTCACTCCTAGAGATAGCCAAAAACAAAGCAACCAATCCAAAACTTCCTTGCCCAGTCACCTCCTTTATTTAACATTCCGGCTCCCAGCCAATATTTCCTCTGCTCTAAGTCACCCCAGGGCCTCGGACAGACCACAGCTCCCACCCCCAGACTGTCCTGCCCTGCACCCTGGATCGTACTCTCGCTCATTTCTTCTGCCTCCTGACCGACCCTGGGGCGTTGCGAGCAGCCCAGCCTGGTGTGGTGTGTTCCGTCTCTTGGAAACTGTGAGTAACAAACTACCTTTTAAATGGCGCATCTCCTGTTGGCCTCATCATACCCGAGTTAAGAATAAGACCCGGTGCGTTTTAGAACAAGGGCTGTGGTCGTGAGTGGAGGCCCGGGGTGAACGGTCTGAGAAAAGTTTCCCAGAGGTGGCAGAGCGGTTGACCAGCTGCTCTGGGGACAGGGAGAATGGACACCAACGAAGCCCAAAGCAGACCCCCAGGCGAAGGGTGTGGGGCTGGCTATTTTCGTCAAGCGGCCACAGGGGACAATGAGTGTGGCCAGGAGATAATTTCGGAGTGGAGCAGTGGCTGTGGTCAGGAGAGGTGGGGACAGCAGAGACAGATGGTGACAGAGCATGGAAATGTGGGAGCCGGGGAGTGGCAGGTCCCCGGACAAACTGATCCTCCCAGTCCCCATGCAGCAGTGCCCCCCACGCCCATGACCCCCTCAGCGCACGTCCTCCAGCTGGAAAGATGAACAGTCCCAGTCTCCGCTCACGGGAGGCACAGGAGATCTCCCTGCCATTTGTGGGGCCAGCGCTGAAGGGCCAGGGGTCCCGCCTGACAGCCCCTCTCTGTGCCCGTCCCTGCCACCCCCTCGGGTAAGGCAGCCCCCAGAATGAGACTCCTCACCAGGGAGATGGGCTGTGAGTCCTTGTCTTCGTCGTGCCTGGAGAAGATGCCCGGCTTGGGCCCGCCTGGTTTTAAGGGCTTCCCTGCCTGCCCTGCACCTCCCCCTCTCCCCGCCCCCTGGCCAGCTCCAGGATTCCCGGTACTCACATAGGAAGTCCAACTTCTCCTCTTTTGACCCCTGAGGATTCCCCCCCCCTCTGTATTCAGAAGCTGCTGTTTCCTCAAGGATGCCACGGGGCCTGGGTGGGTTTCAGGAGGGATAGTGACCTCAGCCTGGCCGGCCCAGCCCCAGTCCAGAGTCCTCCTCCACCCAGAGCTGGAGATCTAGAACCCTCTCCTGAACGCAGCTGCCCTCCCCCCTGCCCACTCCCCCACCCCGGGCCACACCAGGGTCTCTGTCCAGGCCTTGAGCCCACACTCCCGCTTGGATTTCACTCTGCCTCGCTGGGCCCCTTCCCAGGGACAGCCAGGCGGCACCCCCTCCAGCCTCTGCCCCGTTCTCTTCCTGTCGGTCCCCACCTGCCAACCCCAACTCTCTCTGTCCTGGAGTCAAAGCAAAATGTTTCCAAACCCACCTGGCGCCTTTCTTTGCCCCAAACTCCCTACCAAACCCCTGCATTTCCTCCCTCTGAGGAGAAACCGCCACCTTGCAGTTAAAGAGCATAAGCTGGAGTCCCCCCCCTGCCCCCCTGAAGTAGCTGTGGGGCCCCCAGGAAAGTCACTGCTCTTCTCTGTTCCTGTGACACATGAGAATAATGACTCCCGGCCACTGGAGAGGCTCAGGGAGAGAAATGGCCTGTAGAAAATGAGGCCCAGTGGGGAAGTGTGAGAATCAGCGGTTAACATCACAGCTCCAAGTTCTGGGTGCAAATCCTGGTCTCCCCACTACAAGCTGTTGCATTCAACTCAGGGCCTCGGGTAGTTTTCTTGCCTATAGTTACTAGGATTAAATGACTGAATGCACTTGTAACAGAGCAGTGGCAAAATAATGCTAACAGATAATAACCCCCTGGAGTGTTCTCGCAAGGACACAGGAGCTGTTATTATTCTCCACTCATGTTAACCCCCATGCCCCCATCCTGACCTCCACTTACACACACTTTTCCGAGAAGCCGGGAGTGCACCCGCCCTCCTGTACTAAAAGCCCCTCCTTCGGGCCTTGCTGAGACTACCGCATCCTGGGACCCAACCATAAGCACCCCGCGGACTCCGGGAATCCAGTTGAATACAAAAAGTCCCCACTGAGTGTCTGCTACATGCCTGGCACGGCTGGGGACCCACAGTGAACAAGAGAGACCCCCCTCAAGCCGCCTTCTGGTTGGGGGACACAGAGAGCAAAGGCATCAAGCAAATAAACAGGCAGCACGTCCAGGGGCAGTAACTGCGGTGGGAAACTCCTCTGCTCTGCGTTTTTATTTCTCTTTTACCACCACCAGCTTCTTCCTGTGCCTGAGGGCACCACCCTCCCATCCTGAACCAAACACAAGGAAGCTAAACAAGGGAAGACATCCCCTGCCTCTGCTGACTTCTCTTCAGCTTTCTCTTTTCTCTAAAAGCCCGATCTCTGGGCAGAGAAGCTTCTGCTGGCTCATTGTCTGCTGCCTTCTGAGTCCTTTGCTGCCTGGTTTCAGCTGCCTCCCCGAGCCAGCTCTCAGGGGTCCCCCAAATCCTGGTGTTGCCCAAGGCCTGGGCTTCACCCCACTCAGTCTCTCGGGCACTCCATCCTGCTGACCATCAACTCCTTCTCGAAACTCTCTCTCCCCTGGCCTTCAAGAGGCTGCCATGACCTGCCATCTGCCCTCCTGTTCCTTAGCTCCCATCCCTGGTGGCCCCCAAAATCTGGCGTTTTCAGGGGGGTCTGCTCCCTCTCTCTACATCTCTCCTGGGCTGAGCGCATCTGAGGTCAGGGATTTGGGTCTTACTCCCACGCAGAGCCCAGGGGCTCTCACTGGCTGAGCAGCGTCTGGCACTAGCTCTGACTCGATAACACCAGGTGAATGAGTGATCGAATAAACGAACGGAGAGAAAGCACAGCGTTGGGTCAGACAGAAGTGGATTCAAATTGAGGTGTCACCTCTGGCTGCCTGTGTCCCCTCCGGCCTCTTCAGGTCTCAGTTTAACCATCTGCCAGGCAGTACAATCATAGAAGCTGCTTCATGTGGTGGTTTTGATAATCCAATGAGATGTGGCGGGCTGAGGGTCACAGCACGGAGCCCAGCACCCAGCAGGTGCTCAATGAGCCATAACAGTTACAAATATTACTGCAGTTATGTCTTTCCACTGAACTGAGGGTAGATACTGTAACTGCCTCCTTTCTCTACCCCGGCACTTGGCACATAGCAGGTGCTCAGTTAGGTTTGCTGAGTGAATACGTGATTTCTCAGGTCTAGCTTTCATACATACCCCGTTGCCCCAGCCTACACTTCTAATATAGTTTGAATTATTATCAAGTTTAAATATCAGGCAGGTATTTAAATTTTAATGATTATACTCTAATGGTATATTAATTACATATTTAAATGAATATCATTAAAATTCAAATACCTGCCTGATATTCTAGCTCAGTGGCCCACAGGAACCCCAGAACTAAATTTACTGTCTCCCCCACAATCCAGCCCCTCTCCACTCCCCTCTCCCCAGTAATGGATCCAGTCCTTAACACATTATCAATTAAAATACCCCAGCCAGAACAGAAGACTGTTGAGGGCAGGGATCTTCTCTGGTTCATTTCTGATCCCAGCACCCAGAACTATTTGTGGAATGAAGTCAGGATCCCATAAACATGCTTGTTCTCTGGCACTTCTTACGTAGGCTCATCCCTGGGCTGCAACCCCCACTGAGGGCAGCCACAGACACCTGGCCAATTTCTGGCCTTGGAACCCAACTACTGAAACATCCACTGGCCTCATCAAATTTTTCAATGACATCCAGGAGGCTGGCACATAGAACAGGATTGCCTGGGGCTCACCAGCAGAAAATCTCCATTGAGTTCTCCTCCTCCAGGATGTCTTCCCTGATTGCTCCTTCCACGTGAAGCTTGCCTGGCTCTGGAATGTTACAGAACTTATCACACATACTGTCTATTCTGGCAGTATAACCCCCTTTCTTTGGAGGGGGTTACAAAGTTCCTAGCTCAGAGAGGAACCAAAGAGAAATTAGGTACTCAATAAGTGTACAAGTTCATGACACATTCAGCATTTGTGATCATTACCCTTCACAAAATCTTGTGGGCATTATGATCCTACTCTGCAAGTAAGGAAACTGAGGGGCAGGTGTTAGGTAGTTTTCCCAAGGCCACACAGCTAGTAAAAGGTGGGCCCGGCACCTTACACCTGACCTATTTGTCCCCCAAGTCCATGGTCTTTCCACTACACAAAGGGGTTGAGATACAGTGAAGACATAATGATCGGGATTTCCACCAGAAATCTGACCAAACTGTCACATGATTTCTTCTTCTTTTTTATTTTTTTATGTATTCATCTCTTTATAGAGGGGAAAGGGAAGGAGAGAGGGAAAGAAGCATCAATGTATGGTTGCCTCTCATGAGTCCCCTGCTGGGAACTGGCCTGCAACCCAGTCATGTGCCCTGACTGGGAATCGAACCACGATCCCTTAGTTCACAGGCCTGCACTCAATCCACTGAGCTACACCAGCCAGGGCTCATCATTTCTTAATAGACACAATGGAGAAGTGAAAGCTGAGTTAACTGTTATTGCTCATAACTCCCTATAATTCATCGCTTGGTGAGTGGAACTGGATCCCTAGGGATAAACTTTCTAGTTTTCTAGAAACCATTCCTAGAAACTGCTTTGCTTGTCCTACGTGGTACTTAAAAAAAATGGGATCAGTGCTAATATATAAATATTAGGAGATCTCTCAAAAATCCAAATTTCTGGCTTCTCTTTGAAAAATTTGGTAATCCTGGCTCTGGATTTCTACATGTCAACAAGTGGCCAGAGCTGAGCAGTAGCTGCACCCATAGACTGGACATGCGCTTAGCTTTGCTTTGGTCTCCACCATGCCTTATTGTCTTACGCCCAGCCCGCCTCGCTGGTCCTATCTTCTCAACGAGTTCATCACTAATGGGGCAGTGAGTGTCTGAGAGCAGAGGTCATCTCTTAAGCTATCCTTTGTTTCAAGTGCTGAGCTCAGAGTCTAGTACAGAGCAGATGCTCAATAAATACTGTGTAGCCATGGCTGGGTGGCTCAGTTGGATGGAGCATCGTCCCACGTGCCAAAAAGTTGTGGGTTCAATCCCCAGTCAGGGTACGTACAGGAGGCAACCAATCATCAATGTTTCTCTCTCTCTCTCATCCTCTCTCTCGAAAATCAATACATACATCCTCAGGTAAGGATTTAAAAATAATAGCTAGATAAGCAAATAAATAAATATGTACTGCATAAGCACATTAGAGAGGCCCATCCAGGATGGGGGATTTCTGGAAGAGTAGGCATCTGCTCTGAATCTGTAAGAGGACTGGAGGAAGGGGGAGCCCTTGTGCACCGTCGGGGGAACGCAGAATGGCACAGTGCTGGGAAAAACAGTACAGCAGCGTCTCAGAAAATCAGGAGGGGAATTACTACATGACCCAGCAATTCCACATCTGGACATGTGCCCGAAAGAGCTGGAGGAAGTCTCAGAGAGGCGTTCGTCCATGTTGAGAGCAGTATCACTTGCTATAGCTGAGACATGGAAGCAACCCAAGCGTCCGTCAGCAGGTGAATGGATAAGACAAATGTGGTGTTTACGGCTGATGGAATAGCATTCCGCCTGAAAAAGGAAGGCAGTTCTGCAATATACTACAACACGGATTAGACTTGACAACATTACACTAACCAAACTAAGCCATTCACAAAAAATGACGCATACTATATGATTCCACTTACATAAGATACTTAGAGTCCTCACGATCACAGAGACATGAAGGAGAATGGTGGCCACCAGGGGCTGTGGGAGGGGAGAATGGAGGAGGATTGTTTAATGGATTCAGAGGGTCAGTCTCATGAGATGACAAGAGCTTTGGAGAGGGATGGTG